AGTAGGTAGGTTAGAACGTTAGATCTTCATTATCTCCGACTCTTGATTGTTGGAATATTACAGTTATTATTTTCAACTGACAACCATCACCACCTTAATGATTGTGGCGACTATCTTAATAATATATATTACGAACTGTTACATATAATTAATTGATAACTATATCTTAAGTGATAACGTACTTAACGATAATATAAAACTAAATTCATTCTCAAACTGTGTTATTAATTACAAGCTAAAATTACTTTGAATAAATTACTATATATATTTAAATATTGAATAGATATAAATACGCTTTAGTGGACTAAATAATAAATTGAAGGGTTTTGCATTTATAAATGAATCCAGTAATGAATCCAGATATACCGCTATGTAAGTATTGCGAAAGTCATTCCTAATGTTAAACCTACCTCTCAAATGTCACAAATCGGGCTAAAACTTTATATTTCTAGGAATAACAAAATAAAATATGATGTATCTTAAAGAGAAATCGTATATTTAAAATTCTCCATAATACTAAGAACCACCCTAATTTACACATCTCTAGCATAGACATATAGAGTAATAATGATATAACAAGTAATTCAGACTATAATCATTTTGACATTTAATGCGTTTTAGTTTTAGTTATCTAAATTTGCACTTTAAAAACGATTCTATTCCGATACATATAGTCAAATAGAGTAGTCGCAAAAACTTTAAGTACCCTCTATTAAATAAATAAAATTGTTCTATTTTATACTTATGACCCATACGTTAAATACATCATCAATTATATTCGCCTGATAAACACAATATAATCAAACTCATATAGATAAAGAATTATAAATTACATATTTTTTAATATATATATTTATCAATATATAACAATGCGAACTATTGTTTACATATCAGTTTTACTCAAGTACATTATCTAACTAATTTTAGTTTTCTATTATATTTTGTAGTTTATTAAAAATGCTAAAGAAATAATTAAAAATTTTAATAATATTCTTTTTATTCCAAGTTTTAAAATTTTTATCTTAAATCTATCTAATTTTAACATTGAAAATGTTTATATAGAGGTTTTGTATAATTTTTTTATTATTACATTTTTTATTTTTATTCTGTGCTTTTAGTGCTGTTAGCTAGCATGCTCGGAAAATGAATAATAATATAATACAAATAGCACTGCAATATAATTGACAGGGCTTTTAAACACGAGTCAGACTTACGGACCTATTCTGTGTACTTGACAGATTTGTCAAATTCTTTAATAAAATTTTTGATTTTTATAAAGCAGAAAGCTTTTTGGTATTCTGGGCACATCTTGACAAATTTCAAAGCTCAAATACCTAGTGCTTCTCACCACACTATGGTGTAAAGTGTTTTGTATAGAAAACTATTCGTAATTGTTCCTAACTGTTCGTAAAAAATGCTTGCAAAGAGCACATATTTTAAGTTACCAAAAGCATTTTTCATGCATTCAATTAACAATAAAAAATATGCTTGTAAAGAGCGTATATTTTAGTTAAGAATATTTGTCATGCATGCAAAAAATAAAAAATGCTTAAAAAGAGCATATAGTTGTCAACAGCATTTATAGTATTGACAACTAACAAGGAAAAGAGCTTTTTATTTAGTCAATTTTGACAAGTGTCAATGTTTGACAAGTTTATACAGTGCACAGAATAGGTCCGTTAGAATATATAGAAAAACTAGTGCTAAACGAATCATGACAATTAAGGCCGCAACGTAGTAGACTTACTGACAACTAAGACCGATACAAGTAATTTATTCCTATCATATGCACTGCATAAGAGCAAATAAAGTAAGAGGTATTTATACTCAACAATGCAAAGACAACAATAAAAGAAAGCGACAGTTAAAGTGCCAATTTACAGCACTAAAAACGAAGCTGAAATTAATGTATTGTAGTTTCACAAAAAATTTCTAAATCTATATATCTATATATACATAAATTTAGTTCTTTTTAATTCATAACCAAAGGGCTCCTGAACAGCCAATTCGATCCACATGATATTTATGCTATCCAATCTCTATATAATAAAGCCTAACGTTCCTATTTAAGAATCTTATTTTTTAGAGTGGTCATCATACAAAACAAAAAATATTTAAACATAATATTTTCTTTCAATATTATTTACCGCTAAATTGTTATCCATGATATTCCACATAAAGTAATCTCCACATAAAGGCGGAAAATATATCGTACATTTTCATTTACGGTTCATATTTAGTTATTCTAATATATAAAAAAATATTTTAAAGCAATTTTTTTTCTCTAAAGGATGCGGCAGGTCATATATAGATGATTCTTATTATCTATTTTAAATTACAATAAGACTTTGATTATTACCGGGCTTAGGTCATCTATTTAACACATAAAATTATAAAAAACTCAATTACTTTTATCGGGGTTGTGACTTCGTGGATAAAAAGGAAACTATATTCCACCTCATGTGTGAGTGTCCATTATTGGCCCCTATTCTTACCGACTTGACAGAGCTATCATCCTTTAATATTAGGCACTGAACGAGTTCCAATAGGAAATTTGTGCTTGTACGTCTACCTCAAATCTGTGTTGAACAATGCTAATCAGTGATATCATAACGTAGCAATATTTGGGCTTTAGGAACAAGTTCGCCTCTCCAACCCAACCTAATCTTATGCAGTTACTTCCAAATGACTACATTTGGAGTACTTTTAATACATATTTATTATATTATATACAATAGATGTTTTCTTAGAAAGTTAAAATTATACATACCAGCAAATCGGACGGATTTTCAATGTTAATATTAAAAAAATTTGAGCATCAGCCATATAACATCAAATAAATATTTAACATTGATTTATGCGGTAATTTTAAGTTAGCTGATTTATTACAGACGCTTATTTTTGTTTCCATCATCATGTTTACGATATTATTTTTAGAATTTCCACAAATTATGTGAGCTTTGTGTTTATTTATAAATAAATCTCATTGCAATATTATCATTAGTTATTATTTTCTCTGCTTTAAATTACAGTTTATTACTGTATATAGATATAAATATGGATTCACTACACATTTTAAAGTTATTTAATTCAAAGAAATTGCCATTAAATTCTTAAGTTCATATAGTCTATATGTCTGGTGTGTATTATTGTTGTTGTAGTGTTGTTATCTAAATGAGTCGCTACTATGTTTAACTTTACAGTTGACTGTGCAGAGCATCAGTATAAGCGAGAACACGCGTCGTCGCCCTGTTATTTCATTTATGCTTTATGTATTCAACACTATGCATTTGCAGTGTGAATACAACACCAACAATCGCCAAAAACAACTACAGTGTGCATAAGGTTTAATTTGATTTTTTCTTTTGTTTTTCTGTCTTTACTACCCACAGCGGACACTTAAAAAACAACAATACGTAAAAGCAACAAACGTCAACGTCGACGTTGTTTTTTAGTTGTTGCTGCTCTTGCGCGAGTAATTCCGTTCATACCTTGCTTTTGTTTTTTTTTTAGTTAAATAAATTCTTAATGGTGTAGTTTTCCTTTTTACTCTTCACATACTGTGATTTTTATTTTGCTTTGATTTCGTTTCTCTTCATAAAAATTAACAACATTTTAGTTTTTAAAATTAAAATAATAAATAAAACTTTTATTCATTTATATTATTATAACAAATTATATATTTTGTTTTTTGTTGCATACAACTTTAATGCATTTTTTACACTTCTACTTAGAATTGATTAGGATTCTTTTCCGACACGAAACAACATCACCATACACTTCATTCGAGAGCGAAAAACCAATTGATACCGATATGTAAAATTTGACAGCACTTTATGTATTTGGAAAGAAGAAAATCTGGTTTTTGTATATTAAAAGCAGGGTTGTATAACAACTCAATTTTAAATAAACAAAATAAGAATATGCGGTACGCAATTAAAGAATTTTCGTTTATAATAAGAAATATATATAATATAATAAGTTATGGCCGTGTGCGAGTTCGAGTAAATTGATAATAAATTGAGGGAAATAGAATTTCGAGTAGGGTAAATTAAATAAAAATTAGGTCTATTAGGTGTTAGCATTATAATAATTTTATAAAATTTTGAATAAATAAATAAATAAATTTTGAAAACTTTGAACCAAAAATAATAAATAAATGCAATAAATAAATAAATAAATATTTACATAAGTGCAGTGCTAAAATCGCTAGTAAATTTCAATTTACTTTACCTCAATTTACTCAAACTCGCACACGGCCTATATAGATTATAATTATAATTATATAGAAATTTATAATAAGATGTATTGCATTGAACAAATTGGTTCATTATTTTCAACTACTATTATAAAGAAAAGTGAATAAAAAGAATTTCAATTATTTTACACTAATTTTAATTTAATTTTTAATACTTCGACTTTAATCTAAAGTCGAAATTCTGTTTAATTTTTATTTATAGCTGAAATAAATTAACAAATTAGTCCAATGCAACACAATTATTAAAAATTTTGATCATAAAATAATAAATATTTTGCTTTAAGTATTAACTAATGATTGAATACGTTAATCTAGTTATTGATAGATATTTTAAATTGTATATTTAAGCCGAGGTTAGTATTTATCAATAATTAAAACAACGGGTTTTAAAAAGAAACTCACTTAAACACTTAACACCGAGTTGTTATTTAAATCCCAAAACTAATGGATTAATTAAGTTAGCTTAAATCGCGTTTGTAAAATCCAAAACTTTTGGCTTTTTTGAATAAGAGAATGTAGAGAAATTTTTAATGGCTATTCCAAGGCTCGATCTAGGTTTATTGGCTTATTGTTCTAAAATCAGTGATAGCTTACTGTAATTTAGTTTTTATTCTAGTAAATGTGCGTTTAAAATAATATTCTGCAAATAGCAAATTTTTCAAATATTATGCAAGATACTTAATAAATTATTTATCTATGAATTTTCACTCAACTAAAAAATATTCTTAATAGAATATATAAATATAAATAATATAGCAATTTTTATAGCGATGTAATATTATGTTGGTCCCATATTTCAAATTTTTTGTTGTTCCAATATAAATTGAGTAATCGGGTAAATAATCGTTATTTTTTCATAAATTAGCAAATAAAAATAGTGATCAGCTGTTGAACCGTACAGAAGTTTTTAGTTTTTTCTATTTGCAGATCTTTTGATGATTTTTACAAATTATATTCCATTGGTACGTCTATTTGGTAATAGCATTGCCAATGCTGCACCAATATGTAAAGGGCAACAACAAAAACGAAAATTATTTGCTATTGTACGTATAGCATTCAACTCAGTTGATGTAAGCAGATTGCAAGAGGTTGGTCCGAACAGATTATGTGCAGAATGGATTGTAAAAAATGGAGGTGCCGTACGATTTTTAGAGGATCCAAATAAATTATATAATGACTACAATTCCTTGCCACCTGAATCGCAGAAGTATAGGCTCAAGGTTGCAGATGCTACAGACTCATCAATTATGAATATCGGACTAGATCATTTTAAAGGCTGCAATCACGTTGATACTGTTATCTTACATAATTGTACACATTTGGAAGAGGATGGTCTTAAAGGGTTAGTACATATAGTTAACAGCCTAGTACGATTACAGGTTTCTGGTTGCTATAATATAAATGATGAGGGACTTAAAGAAATTGCCAATTTGAAAAATTTAAAACAACTGATAATATTTAATATGACAGCTGTTAAGAGTTTTGCTGCTACAGTAAGCTACATACAGGGTCAGTTGCCAAACTGCGAAATTGATGCTAAGAGATTCAAGCGTTGAATATTTTCAGAAATATTTTGTATTAACTTTATGTCGAACTATACATACTTGTTATTGAATCATGAAAATATAATTTAAAATTTTTTCTGTAATTTCGTGTTTTTAAGATGTGAAAGAATTACCCAACAGTTAGCCAATTGCGGGAAGAGCACTTGGAAAAAATAGTCAAGTGCATCGCTCTGCTATCAGATAACGCATCTTACTACGCTAATATGTTATTGAAAGTATCCGCTACATATTCGTAATGCTTGAACCGCTTAAAATCTACTTCAAATCATCAATTTCAATG